GGACGTGATAGCAATTCCATGGAGGAGCTGCCAGAAGGAAGCAAAATATTAGTTTTCTGTTGCACTAGTTGCTGACCTCAACATTTGACCAATTATTTCAGTCTTCTTTAATATCATCTCTTGGTCTCCTGGGCAAAGTGTGGCAAACTAGTGGACTAGCTTTTCCTTGTCATCCCTGAATTGAAGCTTTCCGTTGTGTAGGTTTAAATATTCTTTTTTATTGTTCTTATCTTTTTCTAACCTTGTTATTTGAGGATGTGTTTGTTTGACCATTAGAGTTTTGGAGTTCCCAAGATTGAGTTCCAAGGTTGGGGGTCTGAGCAGGTTAGGCATGCTCTTGGAGGGGGTAAGGTGTGTGTGAGGGCTCTGTGTGTGTGTGTGTGTGTGTGTGTGTGTGTGTGAGAGAGAGAGAGAGAGAGAGAGAGAGAGAGAGAGAGAGAAAACATCACTACCAGCCCTCCGAGGTTATATTGGATCTCTCTCCCCCCCCCCCGAGAACGGAGCTGAAAAGCAGGTTAGGAATGTGGCTGCCTTGGAGGGTGTGTGTGAGAGAGAGAGACCTCTGTGTGTGGGGGGGGGGAGAGAGAGAACACCACCACCAGCCCTCCGAGTTTAGATGATCGATCTCTCTCTCTCTCTCTTTATCTCTCTCTCTCTCTCTCCCACCAACATCAGCAAGCCACTGTCAGTCAAAATTCATATAGTGGTCTGCGGGATTTAAAATTATGAGTTTGGTGGTCCCTGAGGTCCAAAAGTTTGGTGACCCCTGCATTAGAGTATTATGAAATGCACAATAAAAAACAATTAGCACTAATTTTCTTGGATGCTTAGAAAGTTTTTGATAATATTAATTGGCAATTTATGCTCCAACACTAAAATGTATGGATTTTGGTGAAAAATTTACAAATATGATAAAGGCAATCTACATGCAACAGAAAGCTAAAGTGATGGTGAATGGAGATGTGACAGAAAGCTTCAATACAAAAAAAGGAACAAGACAAGGTTGTCCACTATCTCCATTATTATTTGTTTTAACCTTAGAAGTCTTAACCTGAAGCATTAGGCAGGACTCGGAAATAAAAGGTATGGAAATTAAAAAAGAAAAATATAAACTACAAGCATTCACTGACGACTTGGTCTTTACATTAGAAGAACCATTAGAAATGGGTCCTAAACTGATAGAGAAAATTGAGAAATATGGAGAGGTGACAGGGATGAAAATAAACAAAGAAAAAACTAAAGTAATAGTTAAAAATCTCACAAACAAAAAAGGGGCCTTGACAGAGAAAATAGATTTGCAGATAGTAAAGATTAAATATTTAGGCATCCAATTAACAACAAGGTGATGATCAAAGATGACAACTATAAAAAACTAATGCAACAAATTAAATTGGACTTGGAAAGGTGGAAGAACTTACAATTATCCATGTTAGGGAGAATAGCCACCATGAAAATGAATATACATGTATTACCAAAATTACTTTTCCTATTCCAAACAATACCGATAAAATCAGAGAAGAAATTTTTGATGGATTAAATAGAATAATTTTGAAGTACATATGGCAGGGCAAAAAAGCTAAAATAAAATGGAAAATGTTGCAGGAATCTAAAAGTAATGGGGATTTTTGACTCCCAGATTGGGAACTATACTACCAGGCATCAGTTCTTACATGGATAAAAGAGTGGATAAACTTGAAACACAGAAGGCTGTTATTATTAGAGGGACATGATCTCCAGCTAGGTTGGCATGCCTTCCTATGGTACGGTAGCACGGTGCAAGATATTTTCAAAGGCATTGTGTGAGGAACACATTGCTTCATATATGAGAAAAATAAATAAATTACAGAATTATATGAAAATACCAGTCTGGCTTTCCACTATGGAAGCATTAATATATCCAAATCTTATTAATCTGGAAAAAATGTATTCTATAACAATATTCTGAATGAGAATGGTGAACTTAAAACTAGACAGCAACAACAGAGTCATGGGGTGGATTTAGCTTGGTAGACTTAGTAGATACAATTAAGATATGAGAAAGATGTTAGGAATATAAGTCACCTAACAGGTATTTGGGTTAGAAATATATAAACCAGGATAAACATTTTAAAACTGTATCTTCGAGAGATTGCAAAAACTGCAATTGGGTGTGGTTACTCAAATGGCCATAAGATGGAGCCAGAAACCTGGGTTGTTTAGCCTTAGTCTCAGAAGAGAGTGTAAGTGAATCTCTGTTTCCTTCTGTTGGAAAGTATTGCCATTCCTCCATTTTTCCTAACTGACTGATATTCCTGGATTTGATGTAAGTCTGATACTGAACTGTTTTTGACACTGGAATTTGTTACTGGATTATCCCTGGATTGAAAACTGACTGATTTACTTGTGAATGACTTTGGACTGCTTATTTTGAACTTTGCTTAAAATCTTTATTGGAAGTAAAAACCAACATTTACTGTACAGTGTATCTGTGTGCTGTGTGTGTATTATTCAACCACTACTCTCTATATGTCTCCCTGTATGCACTCATTCTCCTAACGGGGAATTACCTCAACAAAATACATTAAAACATGGGGCCTAAATAAAGAACCAACATCACTAGATAAGATACTAATGGGGACAGATGAAACATTAATAAAATATATAATTACTCATTGATGTATAAAATGGAAGAGGAGCAAGTCAAAGAAACAACTATTGTATGGGCAAAAAAAACTTTGGTTACAATATAGAATTAAGAAATGGCAAAAAGTTTGGGACAGGAATTATAAATTGACTATGACCTCAGTATATAAAGAAACCTTATATAAAATGTTTTATAGGTGGCATTTACCACCGGCAAGATTGGTGAAAATGTTTAATAATTTGTCTCCAAAATGCTGGAAATGTAACCATACTCCAGGTACTTACTATCATATGTGGTGGACTTGTATCAAAGCAAGAAAATATTGGGAGAAAATAAGTCGCTGGTTGGAAAAGATAGCTAAACACAATATAGATCTGAAATCAGAAGTATACTTGCTGGGCATAATATCAGATGGTTATGATAAAGGGGTCACATATTTAGTTTTACATATACTGACAGCAGCAAGGATCAGCTTTGTAAGATACTGGAAAAATGAAAACACCCCGCCAGATGAGGAGATAATTTGGAAAATTTTAGACTGTGCTGAAATGGACAGATTAACTTTAAAAATAAAAGATAAAGAAGACAAAGAATACTGTTCGATATGGAATAGATTTTATGAATGGTTAGAGACATGAGGTAGAAATTAGAGCAGTGATTGCCAACCAGTGGCTCACTGGTGGTCCATGAGAAAATTTTGGTGGTCCAGAGAAATGTCACTCCCAGAGCGCCCTCCCAAAGCAATTAATCCAGGCTGCATGGGAACACAAGGCTGTGCCACCCACATGGCCCACAGGAACAGAAGGCTTGCATCAGAACAACACAAGGTAGTGAGGGGAGGGGGAAAAGATGGAGCGGGGGAACTTGCCTGGCCACCAGACTGCTTCTTTCTGCTTTCTTCTTCTGCTTTTGGCTGCACGCAAGGAAAACAGCAAAAGTCTTTCTCTCCCCCAAACTCCACCAGAAATGAGTCTTTGGGACCTTGAAAGGCATCCTGCTCCAAGAGGCTGTGCCAGCAAAGACTTATTTCTGGCAGAATTTGGAGGGAGAGAAAGACTTCTGCTTCTGGTGCTTTCCTTGCATGAAGCCAAAAGTCTCTTCCTCTCCCCCTGAAAACAAAGCTGGAAATGGTATCCTGCGATCCCAAATAAAGAACAATTAATCAGTAGGAAAACAGGGTGGGGAATTTTCCTGCAGACTTTTTTGGGGATTTTCCTAGGGTCACTGCAGACAGAGACCCTGGGGAAACTCCCCCAAAAAAGTCTGCAGGAAAATCCCCCACCCTGTTTTCCTACCGATCACAGAATACCATCTCTCTTTCTCTCTCTCTCTCTCTCTCTCTCCCCCCCGCCCAAGAATGGAGCTGAAAAGCAGATTAGGAATGTGGCTGCCTTGGAGGGGGTGGGTTGTGTGAGGGATTGTATGTCTCTCTCTCTCTCTCTCTCTGTGTGTGTGTGTGTGTGTGTGTGTGTGTGTGAGAGAGAGAGAGAGAGAGAGAGAGAGAACATCACTACCAGCCCTCCAAGGTTAGATCAGATCTCTCCCCCTCCCCCTGAAAACTGAGCTGAAAAGCAGGTTAGGAGTGTGGCTGCCTTGGTGTGTGTGTGTGTATGTGAGAGAGAGAGAGAGAGAGAGAGAGAGGGAGAGAGAACATCACCACCAGCCCTCCAAGGTTAAATCAGATATCTCTCTGTGTCTCTCTCCTCCACCAACTTCAGCAAGCCACCATCAGTCAAAATTCATATTAGTGGTCCATGGGATTTAAAATTATGAGTTTGGTGTTCCCTGAGGTCCAAAAGGTTGGTGACCCCTGAATTAGAGGAAGAAAGATGATGAATATATCTAAAATAGAGATGGTTTATAATTATAATCATAATTACTAAAAATGTAAATAAGCTAATATACAAAGAAATTTAGTTAAAAGTACTTGATGTTAATATTACTATCATGTGTTATTATTAGTATATATTAGTATTGCTACCACTTCAGTACATGTGTTAATATTTAACGTGGTATTCTTTATGGTTTTCTTTTTCCTTTTTCTCTTGTAAATGGTATATCCTGACAATACACTGTATTCAAAAATGTTTATGAATAAAATTATACAAAAAAGAGAATATCATCTAAGTAAACTAGGACCCTTTTATAAAGATGCTCATGTAGTACCTCATTTATCAATTGCATAAATACCGCGGGGTTTCCTGAAATCCAAAAGGCATCACTTTGAAAACTTCCAAGTGGGCAATTGAATGCAGTTTTCCATTCTTGCCCTCTCTTATTCAGACTCGATAGTACGCCTCTCACAGATCTAGTTGGTAAATATTTTGCCTTTCGCCAAATGGCCTAAGCTTAAAGGCCATCTGCTGTTGGACCGAAGGGGGGAGGTCCTATTCCTATCCTTATTTTACAGTAGCTGTAAAGTGATGGTAGGAGCCCACTTGTCTAGCCAAGCCAACCTGAGAATGAGCAATCTGTCATTTTTGGGATAACCACAAATCATATCATTTCCCAATATTGTCCTATCTCCAGTTTTACAGATTCAGTGACTGAAGTTGTGGGTTCCTCCCTGATTAGAGAACCATCTACTTGTTCAAAACAGCTTAGGGATGTAGTTTTTATTCCTAACTTCTGAACCGTTTGAGGGATGATTAGACATTGGGTGCAGCCAGTGTCTACTAAAGCTTCAAGCTCCCACTGAGTTCCAGTGCCAGGCACTCTAATACAAATCTTTATGAAGAAAGGGCAGATAGCTCCACTACTATCAGGTCTTCATCAGTACTCCCTCCAGAGTCAATCATTTCAGGAGCTGGAGTTTCGCCCCCATCAAGTTGGAGAGGGGGAACCTCCACGGGCTGTTGTGCGAACTTCCCTTTCTCAGGTGGTTTATAGGGAGTTCATTTCTGCTAGGGTGAGGCCGATGTCCTTGCTTGTGAGACAGATGCGGGTGCTAAACTTTCTGAGGCTCTGTGACTGAGTTGGCCACATCAGTAGCATTTTATGGTTGGGCTGATGGCTGGCTTCAGTTCAGCTGTGGGGTTCATGGTTGGACATCTGCCCAGCTGGCACTTGGGTGCTTTCTCTTGAGTAGCCCTTTATGTACACATAATGAATACCCTTCATTTTTGCAAAGATTTGTAGAGAATTATGTGTGTATAATAGCCAAACATGAACATACAGATACCAGCTGCTATCCCAAATACTTTCTAGAGTCTAACTTTCACAATTGTCAGGTTAACAAATGTTCCATATCCTACCTCAATGTATTGCAGCCTCAGTATTTGGCAGTGAGATACCATAGATATGGAAGAAAATATTCAGACTATATTATAATTTTTGCTGCATAATTCTAATAATAGCTAACTGCATGGGGATACCACTTTCTTTGAATAAGAGGAACAATCTAAACATAAATTATACTGTCATTCTAGGAAGGCACAGGTGAATATTATTGCCTTAAAAGTTTGATTCACAGACTGATTTAGACTTTAATTATATTATGTTGAAGAAATATTCATTTAAATGTAATACTATGGACCACAATTCAGTATGGACTCCTATTGATTGCAATCTTGTTAAAATTAACTTTGTTCAATTGAGCTGTACGTTCTTCTTTTTAAGAATTATAATTTCCTTCTTATATGTACATCTATATGAACATTTCCATTCCTCAGTGGAATAAGATTTTACCACATTTTGAAGAGACAATAGTACTTAACTAAACTGTTCAAACGTTTTAATTTGTAAGTCACTGGGAAAAAATGTTCTTTATTATTTTAAATAATATACTTTTAAATAATTAAAAGTAATTTTAAACATAATTAGCATTCTTCAGATATATAAAGTATACTTAAGAGATAAGAGGTAAATTCTTTGCAACTCTTAAAGTTCTTTATCATCAAAACCCTATAAAATACTTCAAATATGTCTTTTCTTTTCTTTAGGGAACAGCCTTGGAGAACTTGAAAATGTATGTTCCGGTTCCTCACTTAATTATATTTTATGCAAGTCTTGTTCAAAGTTTGAAGGTTGTGACCAAAAGGGGTTCAGGTAAGAAGATTGTTTTTCATTTTGTCAGAATGTACAGAATATATATAAATATATCTGTTTGCATGTGCATTTTGATGATGTCAAAGCAAGTAGCTTTTTGTGAAACAAAATATCCTTCTTACATTTGTTTTACATATACTATTAAACATGATCTGTTAGAAATAATTTTCAGTTGGTTAATCAATGGCAAGGATTCAATTCTACTTCATTCATGCTTACAACAGACTACATAAATTAAAAAATAATAATCAAAATCTAGTTGATTTTACTAGTACTCTAATTGAGCATAAATCTTGATACTAATATTACAGGTTATAGATAAGAAAAAAACCCTAAAAATGTATCTATGATATATAGTTGTGCTGATGATGTACAAATTTTCCATTGAAGTAAAAAATTCAGTTTCGTTTATGTGGCCCATATGATGCTTAAAATGTATAGTTATTCAGTTAGCTACTGGGATTGCATATTTAGTTTTTTATGTGCTGCCTGTAAATTTTGTATTTAGTTGATTGTTCAATCACATGGTGGGTTCAACTATAATTTTAATACATGGATTATATATATTATGTGATTTTGTAACCAGATGTTATAATTTGGGTTAGATTCTAATTTTTCAGCATAGATCTATTAATGGAATCTTGTTTTTTTAAAGTACAATATATATTGTAGAAATTATTCCAGATTATAAATGGAATCTTGTTTAAAAAGTGTTTGTAATTCATGAATTGGTCTGTATATAATTCATGATATTGTTCTTTGCAAAGGTGTTCTAGTGGGAATAAGCTTTACAGTTTGTTTTTCTTTCAGAATATGCTTAATTCTTAGCATGGTTTTCTAGTACTCATATCAGAAAATGCTACGAAAAAGAAAGACCTCGTGAATATCTAGATATTTAGTTTTCATATTAACATTTATAATAGGGATTTTTCTTTTGTAGCAAATTTGCTTGTTTTTCAGGAACTTCACTTAACCTTTAAAGCTATCCTAGACAGCTGCTTTTTGAAAAAAGTGTACCAGAGGTATTAATGTCAGCAAGATAGTATTTATATACCTCCTGTTATGCATGTATAAAAGAATGCATTATTTCCAAAATAGCCAAGCATTACAATGTCATTGTTAATCATTGTTTTGATGAAATAATGAATAGGCAATATTCTAGTTATACAGATATAACTATATTTGATTTAATATCTTCATGGAAGATTTTTTAAATATTGTTTGATATTTTATATAAAGAAAACATTTGAAACATATACTTGGGGAAGGATAAAACTAATCAAACATGAAATTGGAGGAAAACTAAAAGAAAAGGAATTAAGGAGTATAATAATGTGATATGGTATCTATACATTAGAAAAATGGTATAGCCATTGTTACATCATGAAACCATATACCATTTTATTTCATCTTCCATTGAATTATGGTCAACAGTATACTAAATTGAATTACATATAGTTGTGCATTTTGAAAAAGTTTATATTGAATTATAATCAGCATACATTAAAATAGCAAATTTGGTTTTAATAATACTTAATTTGATTTTTGAAGGTAATTAAGAAAAATGTAGCTGTTCTTTAATCATTTGTGAAGGACTTTGTACTGGACAGACTTATGCATTTTTTCCTTAGCTTCTATTTTTAGTTTTATCTCTGTTGATAAAATTATATTAATTTCAGATGTATTTTAATTCCTGTAGTTATTTTCAATTGTTGAAAAATTTAATCAGACAGAGTTAAAAAATATTCCAGCATTGTCCAGTTTCTGTAATGGTATGAGCACTTGCAATCCATTCACAGGGATAATATGAATTGGTCCTTTTGACTCCCTCAGGAGAAGTTCCTTACCTCTACTATTGTACATTTCCAGAATTCTTCTATAAGTCATAGTCAGAGCTAAAAGATAGATAAAAGATTCCTATCTTTTATTAAAAAACAAATTATTTTTAAAAAGCTGGGCTCAGCATTCTTTTTTTTCTATAGATACGAAAGTATCTTGCTGGTAGTCACATTCCGTTAGAATGATATTGTAATCTCAGAAGATATTCAAGTTACTCATAATGCAAATTACAATTAGGAAGCAATTGACAGTTAAATATAATAGGAAAATGGACAGAGAAAAATATCATAAATCCTGCAAATTTAACATATAGTTTAGATAATAAGATATAGTAAGTATCCAGCCACACAGACAGTAAAGGAACGACAAAATAGGGCTGAGGTGCAATTCAATCCATAATACCAATTTTAAAATTATACTAATTCTAGTTCACATTTGCCTTAATGATTATTTCTTTCTTATTCTCAAACCTTTCTTAAGGTTGGTGTGCTGTACTTATCTGGTGGGAACCAGATTTTTTTTTAAAGATGCCTTTTCATAATAGGTTGGGTTTTTTTTTTTTTTGCTGAAGAAACATTAGGATGTACCGTATAACTCTCCTGCCTGCCTTGATGCAAGAATAAATTAACAGATTGATTGATTGATCGATTATATAAAATTCTGGTTGAATACGTTTGGAAGCCCACTTACAATCTTCATGACTTCTAGAAGGAAAAATAACAAGTTTTAGCTAAAAAAATTATTCACACTGCCTCAAATTCTTCATGATTTTGTTATTAAAAAACCAAATCTACAATATATCTATCTCTGGTTAGCTGTTTTGAATATCTGAAAGGTCCCAGCCTTGTCTTAGTACCTGTATCTCTTAAGTTATGTGATAACTTAAAAGGAAATTTATTTACCTATTTCTTGATTTCTGCATCAAATGATTGATAAGATGAGCCAAAATTGTAGAAAAATGTAGACTAATGCATCATTTCTATCTTTCTGCTTCACTTTTATTTCATAAAAGCTGGAGGTTTTTGAAGCAATTCAAAACACATTCTTTGTTTATTTAAAAACAGAAATTGCTGGTTCCAGCTTCTTTGTTAGTGTAATGGAGGTGTTTGTCAGTGTTCCAGAAAAAGAAATCCAACACCAAAACTCCAAGATAGGCATTTTCTCAAAGTTCTATTTTATTAGAGTTGTCATACTGGCACATCTGGGAAAACCCAAATCCGAGAGTTCCGGGTTTTCCCTCGGTAATTGAAATTCAAAGACCCATCCCTTGCACCCATAAGTCCATCACATGGCCCAATCACCATCCGTCCTAACAGGAGACAATCCTCTAACCACTCCTCAACCAGGTGCAAGATTACATGACCTTGACTGAAAAGAAGAATGCTATTATGTCTAACTACCTACACCCTTATGAAATCCCCCCTCCCAATTTCCCAGGTTCAGGAATGTGGCAGCATGGAAGCTGCTGGTGCTAATATAGCTTCCAAAGCTGACAGCA